ATAAAGGTAAAATAACATCATCTGGTTCTTTTATTCTTAATTGATCTAAAAGATAAATGTCTATTTAAAGCAATAATTATAACAATGCATTGGGTAATTACAGCACATGGATAAGTGAAATGAATGACACAATGTCACAAGGAATGGGAGGGAAGAATTGGAAAATCTGTTATAAAGTCCTGGCAACATAGCATTTTTGGAAAGTGAACTCAGATTAGTTAAAAATATGTATTATAAACTCTAAAGCAACACTAAAATTTTTGAAAAGCATAAATGATACAGTAAAACTGAGATAAAATGAAAGCATATAAAATACTCAATGAAAACCAGAGAAGTTAGAAAAAGGAAGGGGAAAAAAGAAAGAGCAAACGGAACAAATAGAAAACAGTTATGAAGATGGTTGATGTTAATCCAATTACATAAATAATCACATGAAGTATAAATGGTCTATACATACCAGTTGAAAAATAGATTGCAGAATGGATAAAAACATCAACACCCAACAATATGTGTCTACAAGAAACTCACTTTAAATATAAGCACTCAGATAGGTTAAAAGCAAAGAGATGGGAGTGACATCAGTAAAAATGGAAAAGTAGGGAACTCTAGGGGTCTATCTCTCCCCAGAAACTGAAAAATCTGGCAAAACCTGTCAGAATCAACCTTACAGGAACCCTGGGAGATAGTGAAATGTTACAACAATGAAGTGAACACTTAACCAGGAGAGAGGCAACTTGAACATGGTAGGAGACCCGTGTGGCATTCTAACTAACCTGAATAGGTGAATACAATTCACAAAAGAAACAAAAACTCTAAGCCACTAGGAATAATTCGACCAACAGCTGTGTGAGAGCCTAATCAAGAAAACGTATTCAGTTTATTGAAGTTTAAAAAAGTGGTTCTAAATAAATACCATGCTTAAAAACAGGAAAAGTCAACATGGTAAGGATGCCAGTTTTCCCAACAGTATCTATAAAATTAATATAATTGCAATCACAAATCCCAAGAGGTTTTTTTCATTCAACTTGTCAAACCAACCTTCAAATTTAAGATGAAAGAGCTGAAAAAAGTGAGAGGAGGAAAGACATGGATAGTAAGCTACAATTTATCTAAGAAAAGTGACATGAATTTATACACAAAAACACATTTACTTCTATTAAAAAATGGAATATAACTCCCCTAAAACTAAAAAATGCTAAAAAACAGTTAGTAATAGGAGTAGAGAAGGAATAAGGTGGTAGAGATACAAATAGAATAAAAATGTTTTGTATATTTGTTTTGCATATACTTTAATATACTTTGTTTTGTATATTTGATTTTCTAGCTACCTAAATATTTTACACAATTATAAGACAAAATTAAAACAAATGTTAAAACAAAAGCTATACCTAAAAATCAAAATCAAAATGAAACAAATGAACCTAATTATATATCACACTTGTGGCTTAACCACACAGAGAAATTAGTTCTAGTTACTACAAAGCACAATAATTGGACTGTTCTTCCCTAGAGGGCTATATGCTAAGGACAACAGATCCATAAAGAAATGTTAAATTACTTGCAGTAGGAATATTCTAAGTATTGATAATATTGCTCTGACACTATCTTATTTATATATGCATATACACATCTATAGATGGATGGATAGATGAACAAAAAAAATACAAAAATAAAACCAAAGTAAAGGCCCTGTAATTTAAAATTTTTTAGACTGGAAATAGCAGTTTGAACTGATGAAGCCTATTCTGCTAAAAATAATTCCTGCTAACTTAATGAATCTTGAAAACATGCCAAGTGAAAGAAGTCAGTCACAAAAGACCACATATAGTATGATTTCATTTATATGAAATGTCTGGAATAGGCAAATTTATAGATACAGAAAGCAGATTAGTGGTTGATTATTAAACTGGGGGGAGGGAGGGGAATATGAGATTGACTGCTAATGGGTATGACATTCCTTTTGGGGGGACAAAAATGCTCTAAAATTGTATTATGGTCATGGGGACACAACCCTGTGAATCTATTTTTTTAAAAAAACATTGAATTGTACACTTTAAATGTGTAAAATGTATGGTATGTGAATTATATCTCAATCAAGCTGTTAAAAATTTTTTTTAAATATATTTCCTAGCTCTCTACACACACACACAAAAGCCTAAAAACAATGACTGTGCCAGCAGCAATAAGCACTGTAATTGTGGTCTCAAAATACCATTTCCCAATAAAAGGAATCAGGCCACTGTAGGGAAATGCCTGATGCCATGCCCAGGGTCAGAAATGTTCGAAATGATCCTGAAATAACCTGTCACACTAGAAATGTTGTACACTCTCACAGACTTCTGGGAATGTGATAAAAAGACTCTGAAGCCATCTTGAAGAGATAACCAAAAATGGGAATATTTGAGCTTCAAAAAGAAAATAACTACAATAGTTTGAAACATATCAAACATGTTAAAATCCATGGCTATGTAATAGCAATAATAACAAGAACTCATTGGGAAATGCTAGGGAACCAATTCAATAGCCTGAAAACCTATAAGAGGGAAAGAATCAATTTATTCTGCCTTCCCTGTACAAACTGTACTTCAAAATAACCAGAGTTGATGAGGGAAATTTTTCTCTTTAGGAAAATATTCCAGGTAGTAATTGAAGAAGGAATGATAAAACTCTAATATCATCATTTTGTAACCCCTACTGAAATAAAGCTGAAATCATCCATGTTTTTTAAAACCAGTACGGTGGTAAAAAGAGGGATTGTTGTATTTTGAAAACATTTTACAACTAAAGGGAAAAATATCCTTCTTTCTCTCTACCTTACTTCCGCTAGTACTTCAACCCAACAGTCTTGCAACCCCATCAGGAACTTGCACTCCTTCATTCTGCCAATTTTTTTTTTTACCATTCCTCACCCGCTTCTTATCCTCATTTTCCAACTTACCTGGCCTAAAATCCACAATCAATATAATTAATCCCTGTCAATTTAGACTCCCCTGCCTCTCTCACACTATTCCTACTTATCTCTTGCAAGCAACACTTTGGTTAAACCCAACTCTCCCTGTCTGTGGCTACAACTGCACAGATGAACACTGTGGGAGAAAAATCGAACCACCACGTGGAATAGGCTCACTCTAAATTCACGAAAACTAACATCAAGTGGGTCTTCGGTGCTGCCTGGAAATCATATTATATTTCTCTACTCTATTCTCTGTCCCACTTTCCTAAGTGATTATTTTATTCTTTTCCTCTTTCCTCAAACCCCTAACATTTGCTCTTGTTATTTAAGGACATGTCTACAGTATTCCTCCCCTTTCGCTCCTGCATCAAGTTTCGCTCTCTATTGAATCATTTCAATCAGTATACAGAGTTACCATATACCTCCTAACTCCATCTACCATTCCATTTTACTCCTTCCATTTACAGAAAAACTTATAGAGCTGTCTATACTTGGTATGTCCAATTTTTCTTCTCCAGTTCTCTCTTTGGCCCCATACTCCACTCTTCAGGGTCACCAATGACTTTCACGTTGTTAAATTCAATGTTCCTTTCTCTGTCCTCATTTTACTTGGCCTATCAGTAGCATCTGACACAGTTCTTGTTAAAACCATTCTTCTCATGGTTTCCAGGTTATCACACTCATCTAGTTTTCTTCCAACCACTCTAGCTAGTCCCTTTCAATCTCTTTTGCTGGTTCCTTCTCACTTACCAGACTTTGTAATGTTGGAGTGACCCAGAGATAAGTCCTTTACCTCTACATTTTTCTATCTACTCTACCCTCTAAGTGATCTTATCAGTCTATGGGCTTTAAACATCATTTATATGGGGACTGGCCCTGTGGCCGAGTGGTTAAGTTCGCGCACTCTGCTTTGGCGGCCCAGGGTTTCACCAGTTCAGATCCTGGGCACGGACATGGCACCGCTCATCAGGCCATGCTGAGGCGGCATCCCACATGCCACAACTAGAAGGACCCACAACTAAAAATACACAACTATGTACCGGGGGGCTTTGGGAAAAAAAGGAAAAATAAAATCTTTAAAAAAAAATCCATTTATATGCTGATAATTCCCAAATGTTATGTCTCTAGCCTAGATCTTAGATCTTTCTCTTAAACTTCAGACTTGAATATCCCACTGCCAACTTAATATCTGCACCTAAATGTCTAGTGAGCATCCCACACTTCACATAATATAGTCCAAACTGAAGTCTCACTATCTCCCTACGCCCCAAGTCAGTGCTTCCTACTTTCTTTCCCTTCTCAGTTAGTGACAACTCCATTCTTCAGGTTGCTCAGGTAAAAAATATCGTGTCATCCTGTCACACTTACACTCCACATCAGTTCTGTCAGCAAATTATGTCAGCTCCACCTTTAAATTACATCTGGTACATGACTACTACTCACCATTTTTACCACTCTGGTCCAGGTCGCCAACATCTTTTCCCTAGATTATTGCAATAGTCTCTTGATTGGTCTCTCTGCTTCTGCCTTTGCCCCCACCCTCCTCCTCCATTTTTCTTCCTGCAGTCCTCTCATCAGAGCAGCCAAAGCAATCCTCCTAAATTGTAAGCACATATCACTCCCATGCTCAAAACTCTCCAACAGCTTCCCATCTCATTCAGAGTAAAAGCTAAGATCATCAACATGGCCCATAAGGCCCAACCTGATCTGCCCTCCTTCCGTCTACTCACCATTCTTCTCTCCTCTCTCACAGCTCTCCTACTCGTTTGCTCTACTTCAACCACCAGCCTCTTCATTGTTCCAGGCATGTTCCCACCTCAGGGCCTTTATAACTGTCGTTCTCTCTGCTTGGAATAACCTTCTCTCAATTACATGCATAACTAGTTCCTATACTTCTGTCACATCTTTATTATTACATTTTCAGGATGCCTCTCTGGCTACCCCATCTAAAACTCCAACTCCCATCCCAACTCTATATATCTTCCTGCTTTACGTTTTCTCTCAGAATTTTTCACTACTTAATATATGTTATATTTAAATTACTTACCTCATTTATTATCTGGCCCACGACAAAGTACCATGACAGCAAGGAGTTTCTCTCTTTTGTTCAATGCTACGTCCCAAGCATCTAGAATTGTTCCCGTCACGCAGACAGCATTCAATAACTGGCGCGTGGATGAATGAATTCTTAATATGTGAAGAACTCTGGAAAAGAAATCTGAAAATAGAACACTGCTTTAGAAAAACACTTCAGAAAACAATTCACAAAAAAGATTTTTTAAATGCTTGTCTTTAATAGTAATCAAGCAACTGAAAATTAAAGAAATTATTTTACATCTATGAGGTTAACAAAGATTACTAGTATTAATGATATCCATTGTTATCAAGGGTGTATGAATACAGGCAGTCTCATACTATGCCAATAATACTGTAGATTATTGGGAATTTACAGGAGAGTAATTGGATAGATAGGGAGCCTTTATAGTGCATATATTTTGACCTATCAGTTTCACTTCCAGGATCCTGGCCCCCAACAAAAACATAAATTAGGAAATTGCACTAGGAAACATGTGCCAAATAGTCGCTGATAAACACATTTTTTATAGTGGCAAGAAGTTGGAAAGAATCAAATTACCCATCAACGTGGGTAAATGCATTAAAATGTTTTCTATGAAAAGCTTTAAAATGATGACATAGATCTGTAATTGTTTAAATGGAAAGATAGTAATTGCGTATCGTTAAATGACAAAGCTGGGTTACAGAACGGTATGTATAGTCTGACTACAATTTTTAAGCTATTATGCACATAAATAATAACACAAGAATGCATGTGTAGGTATTCAAAGAGGGAGGGGTTAAAACATGGGAAGTCAATTTTGATAGTAGCTGATAGAATTACGAATGATTTTGGTCTTCCTTGAGCTTTTCTGCATTTTGCGATTTGGGGCAGGGAGTTGGGGGCAAGGAGCAAGAAGTCTGTATGCACACAAAACAACGTGGCTAATACACGAAAATAAGATTTAAAATAACCAAATATTAAAATAAAGTGCTGGGGCTATTGATGTCAAACATAAAAACATACTTCCAATGACCATAACCGAAGGAAGGAAGCACGGATACAGTCTCACAATCTACACACACAGCCGTACCCTCTCTTCCAATCACGGGGGTTCTCATTCACTCGCGACCCCGCCGTGATGCAAGCTCGCACCCACGTTCGTACCGAAACATAAAGGAAAAGCACATCCACAAAATCCGCTTACACACACCATCCCACGGCCACACTGAGCCACAGACAAATGTCTGGCAAATACAGGCACCTCACGCCACACGCCCACGGCCTCGGGCACCACCCGAGGGGCACAGCCCGCCCGGCATCCTCCTCCAACACCACAGCCGCCGGCTCCGCAGGCCCCGCTCCCACCCAGCACAAAGAGTCCCGGCCTGGGAGCTCGCGGCTTCCCGAGAACTCACCGCCGAGCCGCGGACACAGGCCCCAAGTCCACACTTCAACGCCCCCCAGGTGGCACAGCCGGCGCGGGCGGAGGAAGGGGCACCCCGGGGTCAGCGCCGGCAGCCGCTGAGGCAGCACAAGCCTCGGTCCGTTAGGCGCAGGACAACACTTCCCAGCGGCCCCCGCGGCTCACCGGGCGGGACTCGCCTTCCTGTTTGCGAGCGGCGGGAGTAAGCGACCGCGGCGGGCAAGGGCGCCCGGATCTGCCCAGGACGCTCAGCTTAGAGTTCTGCCGCAGCGGCCTCCCTAGAGCCCGGCCCTCGGAGCAGGGAGTGCAAGCTGGCGCTGAGAAGACTCCGACAAGGTCCGCGCCTTTCCTACCCCGGACTACATTTCCCAGAGGCCCTCGCGGCCCACGTCTGTTTTCTGCCGAAAGTCGCTTTCTCCCTGCAGTTGGCTGGAATCTTCGGGTTTCCAGGGTTATGGTACCTGATGAGTGAAGGAAGCAACGCAGAGTTGGTTTAGTTCCGTCTGGCCCGGGCTGCCCCGGGGACTGGACTTCAGCGGAGGAGTGGCATTGTGTGACCCTATGTGGGAGATTTTGGCTGTGGAATTTGGGCTGGGGAGTTTTACGGGGACGAGAGATTCTGTGGTCCAGTGACTCTTGGGGTCGTGCGAATTTGCGGCTATTTGTGTGACCATGGTCACGTCGTATGTTGTGCCCGTTTGATTCTGACCCTGCAGTTTTGTCAGAGACAGCGTACTTGTGTCAATTCTTTGTGTGTATTTCTGCTTTTCTGACTCGCCCCTGTTACAATATTGAAACTTATAAAGTTAAGTCAGTAAACCAAAACAAGTCTCCAAAATATTAACTGGGAGAAATTATAGGCATTTGTGAGTCTGTATTACTGAAAACACCCACACCCAGGCTTTTTTACACTGTTTTACTCCACATCGGGTGTATGTTATATGGACAAAGGTGATACAGGGAATTTAGAAAGATATTGTTGAAGATGGCGAAGACATTGAGCCATTAAATGAAAGTTCACGTCAAGAATTCAACGTTGCCTCAACATCAGGAATGAAAAATGTAAGTGGGAAAGTGGAGAAGTAACCAGGAGCAAATACCTTAGGATCTAGCAAACTAGACTATGTGTCCCTCCTGCCCTAAAAGACCTGATTCTTTCTTCGGCATTTCATATGGGTTCTGCTCCGACTTCAGAAGAATTAAAAAACAATTGACACAGTTGAAGACTCATTGCAATAGAGACTAAAATGGAGAAAGCATCTATGAAAACACTAGTGTACGCTTTTGTGCTATGGTGTGTTGGCAAAGAGAACAAAAAGCTACAGACCACGGCATGTGAAATACCAGGAACTTGTAGTCGTTGAAGGTATCACAAGGGCTTCTGGCTCCTAAGCTTCCATCAACCTACACGAGCCCCGAGGACTGAGTTATCTCTAGGATGCGGTAGAACTTAGTCTTCTCTTCCCAGCCTTCCTTTCACTAAATGATAATGATCACTGTTTCAGAGTAGTGTGAATCTTTGTCCGGGAAGGGACAAGAAACTCCCCATCAAACACCACGTAGAACATGTCTTCCATCTAAGTTTTGCTTATTTGTCATGTGTCTTTACCAACAGTACATATTTTTCTGTCTACTGTAAGAATTCTTTCTGCTAATCATTCTGTTCAGAAATGAGACAAGAACAGAGTTTGTTCTATGTCCATCCACCTTCCTGATTTCACTTTTTATACTTGTAGATGTCTATTTCTCCTTTTATTTCTGTTAAGCTTTGCTTTCTATATTTTGAAGCTCTCTTAATGGATGATACATATTTAGAGTTGTGATAGCTTCTTGTTGGATTGATCTAATAGGCAATAATGGAATTTACTCTTGATTTATAATATTACTTTTTGTCTTATTCTATTTCGATATTACTATATCTTCACCATCCTTTTGGCTAGTAGATGGTTTATCTTTCTCTGCTCTTTTACTTTTAACTTTTCTATTTATATATAATGAGTATGTCTCATTAAACAGCATTATTTTAAATAAATATGACAATCTTACTCTTTAATTTGACATGTTTAGTGAATTTACATTAAATGTAGTTGGATTTTGGTCTACCACCTTAGAATTTGTTTTCTTTTTGACCTAGCTCTTTAAAAAATTTAACTTTTTATTTTGAGATAATTCTAGATTTTCATGCAGTTGTAAGAAATAATTTAGAGACATCCATGTACCCTTTATCCAGTTTCCCCCAATGGTAACATCTTGCAAAACTATATACAGTATTGCAACCTGGGTATTGACATTGATACAGTAAAAATTTAGAATATTTCCATCATCACAAGGATCCTTCATGTTGTCCATTTATGGCCACACCCACTTCCCTCTTCCCCCCAGCCCCTTCCTTAAAGCCTGGCAACTCTAATCTGTTCTCCATCTCTATAATTTTTCCTTTCAAGAATATTACATAAATGGAATCATAAAGTGTGTAATTTGAGTATTGGCTTTTTCACTCAGCATAATTCCCTAGATATTCATACATCTTGTTACATGTGTAAATAATTCATTCCTTTTCTTGCTGAGTAGTATTTCATGTGGATATACCACAGTTGGTTTAGCCATTCACTCATTGGAGGACATATGGGTTGTTTCCAGCTTTTGGCTCATATAACTAAAGCTGCTATGCAAATTCATGTATAGTTTTTTTGTGTGAACATAAATTTTCATTTCTTTCGGGTAAGCATCTAGGAAAGTTTTAGAAGGAATTTGGCAATTTATACCAAAGAAAAGCACCTATCTGGGATTTTGATTGAGATTGTGTTGAGTATACAGGTCAATTTGGGGAGAGTCGACATCTTTCAAATAGTGAATCTCATGACTCTTGAACACAGTATATATCTCCATTTACTTAGGTCTTCTTTAATTTCTCTCAGTAATATTTTGTAGTTTTTAATGTACAGGTAATGCAATCTTCTGTCAGATTTACCCCTAAGTATTTCAGAGTTTTTGATGCTATTGTAAGTGGTATTTTTTTTTAATTTCAATTTTCAATCATTCATTGCCAATATATAGACTACCAGTGATTTTTGTACCTTGTGGTCTGTTACCTTGCTAAACTCACTTAGTATTTCTACTAGAGTTTTAGAGTTTCCATTGGATTTTCTACATAGATGATCATGTCATCTGTGAAAAAAAGACAGTGGTACCTATTCCTGTCTATTGTGAATAGTGGTACCTATTCCTATTCCAATCTGCAGGTACAGGATGGACCCCCACCCAAAATTTGCTTGGGACGTTGAGACTGACGATGCACCGCGCGCGCGCGCGCAGACACACACACACACACACACACACACACACACACACACATACACACACACACACACACACCCCCAAGAGAGTATGAAAAGTTTTATTATCCACACAATGAAGTTTTCTAGGGAAAGCAGGGCAGGCTTCCCTAGAAAGTCTGCAAATGGTTTGCAACAGCAAGGAAAAGACGTTGGCATGGAGTGTTTATGGCAGATGCTTACTTGGTTTAAATCTTCTGCTTGTGCCAAGGGAGGGAGCACCTGAGCTTGCCCAGATATGGGGCATAAGAGAAAGAAGAAGGAGTGAAGCTTAAAAGCTGTGAGCAGCTTCTGCGGCTGCTCCTAGTACTGTTTGTGTGCTCTTTCCGTGCAAACCTGGTGAAACAGCAGCTGAGGAAATTCAGGCCCTCTCCACGGCTGAGGAAAAGCCCAAGGAAGGAGTCAAAACTGACAACAACAACTGTAATAATTTGAGGGTGGAGGAGCAGGAGGGCCCTGTGGTGCAGTTTAAGATTAAGAGGCGTACGCCACTGAATAAACTAATGACAGCCTATTGTGAATGGCAGGGTTTGTCAATGAGGCAGATCAGAGTCCACTTTGATGGGGAGCCAATCGATGAAACAAACACACCTGCTCAGTTGGAAATGGGGGATGAAGATACAATGGATGTGTTCCAGCAGCAGACAGAAGGTGTCTGCTAAAAAAGGAACATGCTACTTTACTCCAGAACTCTGTCCTCTAGACCAAGAAGACATTCTCACTTAGAAAAACACTATTTGGTTCCACCACATCCTGACTACTACAGTATAGTTTTCTCTAGTCTTTCATTTTGCCTTTCCCCATTCCTTCATTGTACATAAAGTAACTGGTGTATGTGCACAAGCATACTGCTTTTTCAAAACATTGCTTTAAATAGCCAATGGTATGTTTTGATTGACATCAAATGGAGATGGGATGGGGAAAAATACTGGTTCTGTGAAAATACTCCCTTTCTATTAGTGGCATGCTCCTTCAGCTCTTATCTTTATATTCTGGTAACTTATTTTGCTCTCAGTTTAACAAAAAAGAACAACATAAGAATCCTTGCATACCTTGTTCAGTTGGAGAGTTTTAATGTTTTTATTTATCATTGTAAAACCAAGGGCAATTTTATAACTGTTTTTTGTACATAGCTGTTATATGTAGGGCAATCTGTCTTTGAGTAGGGATAAATTAAAAGAAATGAATCCTAGATAGCTTTACGTTCAAGTCAAGCATCTTGTTGTTTAAATAAAATTTTTTTTAAAAAAGCAACTATACATAACCAAACATCTAAAAATGGAATCAGACTCTTCATTACACTATCAAATCTGTATGCTATTTATTTCTTTTTCTTTCCTGATTTCACTGGCTAAAACCTTCCATACAAGATTGACTGGAAGTGGGGACTTTGCTGTCAAAGTGGATATCTTTGCTGTGCACCTGATGTTGGAGGGAAGGTATTCAGTTTTGTATTAAGTGAGATGGTAGCTGAAGGGTTTTGGTAGATGGCCTTCGTTGGGTTGAGAAATATTTTTTCTTTTTCTAGTTTGCTAAGTATACTTATCAGGAATGGATATTGATTTTTGTCAAATGCTTTTTCTGCATCCATTGATATGGTAATAATGTTTTTCTCTTTTAGTTTCTTAATATGTTGAATTACTCTGGGCTTCAAATCTTAAACCAATCTTATATTCCTGGGATAAACACTGCTTGGCCATTATGCCTTATCATTTTTATATATTGTTGGATTCAATTTGCTAAAATTTTATTAAGAATTTTTGGCAAATAGGTTCATGAGGGATATTGGTCTGCAGTTTTAGGGGGAGTAATGTTTCTGTCTAGATAACTCATAGAATGAGTTGGGAAGAATTTCCCTCTTTTCACTATTCTAGAAGACTTTATATAGCATTGTTATAATTTCTTCCTTAAATATTTAATAGAAATTAAAATTAAGTAGAAATGTTTAATAGAATTTCCCAGTGAAGACATCTGGGCCTGGTGGTTTTTTGTAGGAAGGTTTTAGTTACAAATTCAATTTATTTTGTAGATACAGGGCTATTCAGGTTGACTACTTCTTTAATACATCTTGATAATTTGTGTTTGTCAAGAAATCTATTTCACTAATTTGTTTAATGTATTGGATTTAAGTTGCTATGATATACTTTGTTATCCTTTTAATATTTGTAGACTCTGTACTGATGTCATCTCTCTCACTCCTGATGTGGGTAGTGTGTGCTATCACCCTTTCTTTCCTGATCATTCTGGCCAGAGCTATAATCTTTATCAATCTGAAATAATTAGCTTCTGCTTCATTGATTTCTGTTTTCTATTTCATTGATTTCTGTTCTCATCTTTATTTCCTTTGTTTTGCTTACACTCTGTTTAGTTTACTCTTCTTTCTCTAGTTTCTTGAAGTAGAAAATGAAGTTATTGTTTTGAGACTTTCTTCTTTGCTCATATAGGTATTTAATTCTATATATTTCCCCCTGAATACTGCTTTAGTGGCATCCCATGATTTTTATACAATGTGTTTTGATTTTCTTTAGGTTCAAAATACTAATTTCCTTTTTGATTTCTTCTTTAGTCCATGGGTTATTTAGAAATGTGTATGTTTCTAAATATTGGGTAATTATCTAGATATCTTTCAGTTATTGATTTCTAATTTAATTTCATTGTGGAAAGAGGCTTGTTTTGCAGCACAGACTACGTTCTATCTTTGTAAATGTTCCATGTGCATTTGAAAAAAGTATTTTTTGCTGTTGTTGATTGCAGTGCTTTATAAATATCAATTATTAGGTTAAATGATAGTGTTTTTAAAAGCTTCTGTATTTTAACTGATTTTCTATCTACTTGTTCTAATAATTACTGAGAGTGGTACTGGAATCTATAACTTATAATTGTGGACTTGTCTCTTTCTCCTTCTGGTTTTATCAATTTTTGTTTCTTGTATTTTGATGCTATTATTAGGTGCCTAAACATTTACGATTATTTCACCTTGAAGAACTGACCACTTTATTATTATGAAACGATCCTCTTTATCCTGTAATATGTTTTTGCTCTGAAATCTACTTGTAGATATTAATACAGCCACTCCAGCTTTTTTTAAAAAAACAGCTTTATTGAGATAAAATTCACCACCATACAATTTACCCATTTATAGTATGATTCAATGATTTTTGGTATATTACATTATTAAATTTTTATATTATTGTAAAATATATATAACATAAAATTTGCCATTTTAACAGTTTTTACGTGTACAATTCAGTGGCATTAAATACATTCACAATGTCGTGCAATCACCACCACTATCTATTTCCAAAACTTTTCATCATCCCAAATGGATACTTTGTAACCACTAAGCAATAACTCCCAATTCCTCCATCTTCCCAGCCCCTGGTAACCGCCACCCTATTTTCTTTCTCTATGAATTTGCCTAATCCAGATATTTCATATAAGCAGAATAATACAATATTTGTCCTTTTATGTATGGCTTACTTCACTTTGCATAATTTTTTCAAGGTTCATCTATGATGCAGCATGTATGAGAACTTTATTCCTTTTTATGGCTGAATAATATTCCATTTTGTGTAAATATAGAACATTTTGTTTATCCATTCACCTGTCGATGGACACTTAGGTTGTTTCTACTTTTTGGCTATTTTGAATAATGCTGCAATGAACATTGGAATACAAGTATCTGTTCAAGTCCCTGCTTTCAATTCCTTTGAGTGTAAACCCAAGAGTGAAATTGCTGGGTTATATGGTAATTCTATGCTGTGCTTTTTGTGGAGCTGCCAAACTGTTTTCCATAGCAGCTGCACCATTTTATCTTCACACTGTTGTTGTACAAGGGTTCCAAGTTCTACACATCCTCATCAACACTTGCTATTTTCAGTTGTTTTGATAATACCCATTCTAGTGGGTGTAAAGTGGTATCTCGTGGTTTTATTTGCATTTCCCTAATTACTAATGATGTCGAGCATCATTTTATGTGTTTATTGGCCATTTGTATATCTTCTTCAGAGAAACGTTCAAGTCCTTGCTTATTATTGAATGGGTTCTTTGTCTTTTTGTTGTTGAGTTTTACGAGTTCTTTATGTATTCTGGACATTAAACCCTCATCAGATAAATGATTCACAAATATTTTCACCCATTCTGTAGGTTGTCTTTTTACTTTCTTGATAATGTGCTTTGTGTACAAAAGTTTTTAATATTGATGAAGTCCAGTTTATCTGTTTTTTTCTTTGGTTGCTTATGCTTTTGGTGTCAGATATATCTAAAAATCCATTGCCAAATCCAAGGTCATTCCAGCTTTCTTTACACAGCATTAGCATAGTGTATCTGTTTCCATCCTTGTACTTTTAACCTATTGGTATAGGTATATTTAAAGTGAATTTCTCATAGGCAGCATTTGGTTGAGTCCTGCTTTTTTATCCCATCTAACATTCAATGCCTCTTAATTGGGATGTTCAGATCACTTATATTTAATCTTATTATTGATATAAACCTTCCATTTTGTGATTTGTTTCCCATCTGTTATTTGTTCCCTTTTGCACTTTCTGACTTCTTTTGGATTGAATTTTGGTTTTGTTTGTTTGTTTGTTTTTTGCTGAGGAAGATTAGCCCTGAGCTAACATCTGTGCCCATCTTCCTCTATTTTATATGTGGGTCAATGCCACAGCATGGCTGGTGAGTGGTGTAGGTCCATGCCCTGGATCTGAACCTGCAAACTTGGGCCACCTAAGTGGAGCATGCCCAACTTGACCACTAGGCCACTGGCTAGCCCCTGAACTGAGTATTTTTTATGATTCCATTTTACTTCACTTGTTGTATTATTAGCTATAACTCTTGTTAGTTTAGTGGTTGCTTTAAGGCTTAGAATGTACATCTTTTACTTATCACAGTGTTTGTTCAAGAGATATCATATTACTTCACATAGACTATAGGAACCTTACAATAGTTTGTTTCCATTTCCTTCTCTTCTCCTGGTCTTTGTGCTATTGTTGTCATACAATTTGCTTCTATACATGTATAGATAGATAGATATAAAAACCCTAACTACATTGTTTTTTTATTTTTATTTAAACAGTACTTTATCTTTTGGTAAGATTTATATAATAAGAAAGTCTTACATGTGTACCCTGTAGTTACCATCTCTGGCAGTCTTCATTCTTTTGTGTAGATCCAGATTTCTATTTGTTATCCAATTGCACATATATTAGGCCTCTTGAAGTCGCCCTTCCCCTCACTGATATTCTATTCACTATTTTTAAGTTGATTTTCTCTGTGTCTATCCCAGCACCGGAAACAACATCTGGCATATAGTTAGGAGCTTTCTAATCAGATACCACAGGGCAGAATTCCCCACAGAAACCCACATCCATTAGTCTAATCCTCAACGTGTCCCACGCACTATCACACTCCTACTCCACTCTCCACCAGTCATTCCCTTTCTATCGTAGCACATTCTCCCAGTTAACATCACAAATGTCAAACACAGAAGCACACACGTGGTCACAGGATCGCAGCATGCACACTCCAACGCACAGAAGAATTTTACATAGTTACTCTCACAAAAATACACATACAATCACAGAATCAAAGGGTCACGCAGCAACTCACAAAATCACAGGTGACAGAAGCTTGTTGTGAGGAGATAATAAACAAAAACTTAAAATGTAAACACTACTGTTCTAAGGGGATATAGAGTCAGATTAAGAAGCCATGGAGCCCCAGGGGAGAGGTGTGATGGGCAGGCCCTCTTTGGAGGTGCGACATCTGTATCTGAATGTAGGGAGTAACGGAACTTTGAAGATACCTGCAGAAGAGCCATTTTAGGAAAAGGGGACACACTCTCACCCACCACCGCCAAAACACAAAAACAAGAACCACACGCAGAGAGCAACACTCTCTGCCCCGCCCCCGCCCGTCTTCGAGGTAAACCAGTCCGGAACCTGGAACTCACCGGGGGAGGCGGGACTGGGCGGAAGTCTAATGCGCACCTGCGCACCCTACGCCCCGCCCCCTTTTTCGGATACCTCCGCTCCGCTAGGAACGCGCCCCCCACCCACTTTGCGTAGGCGCGCGTGCACCAGCGTCCGCACGCAGACCCCGCCCCCTGCGGCTGCCCCGCGCCTGGAAGTTCTCCGCCCCGGTTGCTAAGGGAGCTGGGCCGAGCGCTTGTGCCTGCGCACTTGGTGTCAACCGGCAAGCGTCCGGCTCGGCCCCGTGCCTGTGGCGGACGCAGGCTCGGAGCTGAGAAGATTCCGGACTTCTGGGCTCCTGCAGGGCCAGCGAGAGGCCGGCGTTACGAACCCCCAGCGGCGGCGTTTTCTGGGCAGGACTACATTTCCCAGTGGCCTCTGCGAGCGCCGGGCCGGTGGCCCCTTTGTGTCCTCCGGAGGCCCAGTCGCTTCTTTCCGGGCCCACGGGGGCTGGAGCCCATCCGACTGCTAGGACTGGAGGTGGGCCGGAGTGGAGATTGCCGGAGCCTTCGGGGCGGGGCGGGGATCTGCCAGCAGTTCAGTCCTGCAGGTAGGGAGCGGGCTGAGGAGTGGCCTGTGGGTCGCCTGAACGCCGGCCCGCCGGGCCCTCTGTGTGACTCTACGTGTGACGCCGTGGTTGATGCCGTGCACTGTGAGACTGTCACCCGATGTGCGTGTTCACGTATCTGTGTGACTGTGGGTGCGAGTGAGTCGATGGTGCCGCAGCGTGTGAGACTGTGGGTGGCGGTGTTGCCGAGCCCTCGGCCTCTTTGTGACTGAGGTGTGTGAGACCGTCGGTTGTGACACCTAGTATTTGAGGCTTGGGGGTATGGGAGCCGGTGACCGTGTGAGACTTTGAGCATACCCGTGGCCGCTGACTGTGATGTGTGTAAGACGGTGGTTGGCGCTGTAGTTTTTCAGAATTGTTGAGTATTGGGGCCGGGGTCGGGGAGACTGAGTGAAACCGTGTGTAGCTTAAAGCTAGCGGAGTGATGACAGTGTGCGACCAAGTTTCAGAACCGCTGATACATTGGAGAGGAGAAAGACTGTGGAGTCGGAAGGACCTTTATTTGATCTTGGTGCTGTTATTTATTAGTTGTGTGTCTTTATTGTAAATGATTACATTCCTGGGAGTTATTATTTGTAAAATCTAGAAAATGTATTGTTGTAATAATAAATTAGGAAGTGATTTAGGCACGGGTTAAATCGTATGCAGACAAATTCCTAGGTCTCCATTATGCTTTTTCTCTACTGGAGAGGATGCTCCTCTCTTTAACAGGAGGAAAGTGAAGCCGAAAAATTATAGGCTGGTGATTCTGGATGCTGCAAGGAAAGCCTGTTTTCTCATGTTCTCTTCTCCATCTCAGTCATCTCAGTCATCTAAGGACATTGCCATTTCCCAAGAGAAGAGCCAAGAGGAGGAAAGAATGGCGGTTGGACTTCTGAAAGCCATGTACCAGGTAGGCTGGTGTTTTCTCTTTTCTGAAATATTTTCCTGTTTATCCAAACAAGGCAGACATTAACTTTCCTTCTGCTGAAACTTTTCTGGGTAACCAGTCATGTTGCTTCTTAAAACTTTCCAGTGGATTCGTACGTCATTCAGGATAAATGCTTAAGTCCTTGCCTTGGCCTGCAAGGCCCTACATAATCTGGTCCCTGACTATCCCTCTGACCTTATCTAATTTTTCTCACCCTATCTGTAACTCACCCTCTCAGTTCCAGCCGTGCTAGCTTCCTCGTAGTGGGTTGAGTATGTTCTTAACTGATAGCCTTGAACTTGCTGTTCCCTCTACCTGGAATGCTGTTCTACCAGATACAGACCAACTTATTCATTCTAGTCTCTGCCCAAACATTGTGCATTTATGTAACAAATTTTTATTAAGCACCTAGTAGGTAAGAGGGCTTAGTCCTTGGTCCTCTGCTCTGTCTACACTCACTCCTTTCGTGATCTCATCCTATCTTATGGCTTTAGGTACCATCGATATGCCAACAGCTACCAAATTGTATGCAGCCCAGACCTCTCTCCTGAACTCTCGACTTGTATATCTGTCTGCCTACTCAGCATCTTCATTTTCTTATGTGATAGATACCTCAAACTCAAACATCTCACACTGATTGAAATGAGCCATTGGAAGTTTGGGGGCATAGGAATGACGTGATCTAATTCTCATTTTAGTGGGATTGCTCTGGCTACTATTGAGAATAAAACAAATGGGACAAAGATAGAAACAGGGAAACCGATTAGGAAACTCACATCCTCCCCAAGCTCAGTTGCTCATGCTAAGTCTTCCATCAGGAGGTTCTGTTTATTCTGCCTTCAAAAATTATCCAGCATCTGAGCACTTTTTTTACTACCACCACTGCTTCCATTCTGGTCTGAACTGTCATCTCTCACCTGGATTATTTCTGCTGTACTCTCCTAACTTGTCTTTCTACTTCCTCTCTTACTCTCTTAGTCTATTCTGAGCAGAGCAGCCAAAGTGATCTGTTACACATGTCGTATTATGTCATTCCTATTCACGGTGGGGATAGAAATAATGGAAAGTATAGATGACTCTTTCAAATAATTTAGCTATAAGGGAAGAAGGGAAATGGGTGATAACTGAAGGAGAAACTGGTCAACAAGGTTTTTTAAAGATGAATATATGTTGATAGGCTGATGAGATTCAGTAGAAGGAAATTTGAAGATGAAGAGGAGAGAGGAGGGAATTGCTGGAACACTGTGCTTGCGTAGGTGAGAGGAGCTGAGATCTAATGTACAAGTGGAGGCACTGGCCTTTGCTGGGAAAGTGGGCTGCTCCTTGATAGTAGTAGGAACAAGTTAGAGGATATGGGCACAGAAGCAGGTAGATGTGTAAATGTTGTGGGAGTTTGTGGAAATTTTCTTAGAATGACTTTTGTTTTTTCAGTGAAACGGAAAGCAAGGTCATCAGCTGAGAGTAAGGATGGGGTAGAAGTATTGTGAAGGGAAAGTAGCAAATGGTCATATAGGAGAGTGGTGGAATGAATGGACTAGAGAAATGTATCATGTAGGTAGCATTTTGGCCCACTTGAGCTTAGTGCTCATGAATCTAAAGTGAGACCAATTAGCATGGTTGGTATGATTTTCTACAGCAAAGGTAGCTGTTCAGGGTACTTAACTAGAGTATGCTGAGAGATGGCTGTGGTTTACCTAGGTGAATACAGTTAAGTGAGAGAGGGTAGGGAAGTTGAGGATGTATGCATAATGGTTGTGCTAGGAAGTGAGGGGGTGCAGGAATAAGAAGCAGTGAGAATGTGGTAAGATCAGTGGTTTGTAGGTTCTGAAGGTTCAAAGAATTATCCTAACTGGGGTAACAGAGAGCAAAAGTTAGAGTAGGAGGTGGAAGTCAGAGTGGGAGAGTTGAGATTATGGCGGGTTTGGTACTTCCTGGTAATGACAAGGTCTAGGGCATGACCATGGGAGCAGATGACTGTAGAAGTGTGGAGGACAACATATTGGAGGAGGGGGGGTTGGAGAACTGAGAGGCCAGGTTGTTGGGAGGATTATTTATATGGATCTTGAAATGACCAAAGATTATGATAGTAGCGTCATTGGAGAGAGTGACACTGAGCCAGGTGCTGAAGTGTGCAAGGAGTGACGGAGAATTGGTATCTTCCTGGCTTTGGTAGATAACTGAAACAAGGAGGGATAGTGATGATATAGTCTGACTTCAGGAGATAGGTGTCTTTTAGGGAGGAGAGAGGAGCATAGTCTGGAAACAAGCATAAGGTGCAGAGAGGTCCCCTGCCTCAGCTCCAGTGCTGTGGAACAAGGAAGGTGGGAAATAAGACAGTCGGCAAGTGCCAGGGCTTCGGGGAAAGTAGTCCTCTCAGCTGGGAACCATGTTTCTATAAGGGCATAAAGGTGGAGGGAGCTTTGTTATGCTTCAGACTGGTTTGACTGTAATTATGAATGGATTTTGAAACTAAGTGTTATTGTCATTTGTTAGAGGTCAGATATTTTAAGGTTAGAATTTAAGCTCCTTATAGTGACATTGTAATTGTTTTCATTGATGGTGTAAATTATCTTAAGTCAAAGAATCAGTTGAAAAATGTGTATGTCATATAAAAAAATATACAGTTATTATATATATATATATATATATATATATAAGCTAAGGCTTATATAAGAAAATTTTAAACATTTTGGAAGCATATACACCGTATGAACCAAACTCTAAAAAGGAACGTTTTTGCAGCATATGAGGGATGTTATTGCTAGGGCAGGGAGGGAGAGAGTCACAAAACTTCATATAATTAAATAAGAAAAAAGGTTACTGAGTGTTGAAAAACACCTTTTTTTTTTTTCCCTGCTTTTTTTCTCCCCAAAGTCCCCCGGTACATAATTGTGCGTTTTTAGTTGTGGGTCCTTCTAGTTGTGGCATGTAGGACGCCGCCTGAGCATGGCTTGATAAGCAGTGCCATGTCTGCGCCGGGATCCGAACAGGCGAAACCCCGGCCACCAAAGCGGAGCACGCGAACTCAACCACTCAGCCACGGGGCTGGCCCCTCTGGTCTCATTTTTAATCCTCTTATAGCTTCTTGAACTTTTCAAGCGACTCATTTATTACTTAAGTTTATTTGGCAAATATTTGAATGCCTCACGTGTGCCTGATACTGATCCATAACTGGGGACATGGCAGTGACCAAAACAAAAACGTACTCTGCCTTCATGGAGCTTACATCTCAGTGGAGGTTGGGGAGTGGGCTATAAATAACAATTGAGTGCTGTGGAGAAAAATAAAGCAAGGTTAGGAGAATAGGGAAGTGGGGTAGGAGCATTGCTGTTTTTACACAGAATGATCTCAGAAGTAAAAGCCCTGAGGGGCAAGGTACTTGACAAATGCGAGGATGTAGTATCAGCGGGAGGCCAGTGTGCCTGGGGCAGGATGAAGGAGGTGAGTATGGTGAGAGATGAGGTCATTTCACTTTGTTTATTTGTTTCATTTCAGGAATTGGTGACCTTCAGAGATGTGGCCGTAGACTTCTCCCAAGAGGAGTGGGATTGTCTAAATTCTTCTCAAAGGCATCTGTACAGTAACGTGATGTTGGAGAACTACAGGATCTTGGTATCACTGGGTAAGAACATCTTCTCCTTGCATAATTGAGCTTCTGTGCACAGGGGCTCTTTCTGTCTATCGCCATTGTAATTTTTGGATAGCATCTACAATTCTTGGCTGAATGTCTGCCAAAGTAATGGTTTAATATTTGTAGTGTTAGCAACGGATAGGTCTGTTAGTAATCTACGTCAGAAGCTTCAGCTTCCCTGTCCTTTGAATACCTGTCTTTTCCACATTTTTTCTGGCTTCTTGTGAGCTCCATCTTCCCTTATGATCAGAGGATTGGATGTGAGTTCTGGGATATCCACAACATGACCAAATTCTGTTTCTTTACTTCTGTGCAGGACTTTGCTTTTCTAAGCCAAGTGTGATATTGTTGTTGGAACAAGGGAAAGAGCCCTGGATGGTGAAGAGAGAGCTGGCAAAAGGCTTGTGCTCAGGTGAGTGAAGAGGAAATGGGCAGGAGAAACCTTTGCAGGTGACAGCTCAGCTTGACTCAAAGGTATCACCTCTTCACTCTTCTTTGTTGGCATGGTCTTCTCAAATGTTCTAGGTATTAGTAGAAACTGTGGACCTTTTAGAATGTTCTCCCAAATTTGTTATTTTTAACTCTCTCCCCTTTCACACTTTGCCCCCTCCTTTCTAATAACTCATTTATCTATTCTCTGAGTCCCGTTCCTTTCCAGTTTCATAAGCGTCTTCCAGTCTTTAAAAAATCTTTTGCTAATCTGATAAACTTCTGAGCTCTACAGACAGCTGTAACTGGAGTACCACGGTGAAATCTTGACACTTATGTGCAGTAAAATTTTGGGCAAGTTACTTAACCTCTCTGTGCTTTTGTTTTGTCACCTGTAAAATAGGGTAATGCTTTTAAAGTGCTTTGATTAGTTTGTATCTCATGTTATGAACTCACTAGCTGTTAGCTGCTGTTATTATAGTCATGTGCTGCATAGTGATGTTTCAGTCAATGATGGACCGCATCTATGATGACGGTCCTGTGAGATTAGTGCAGTAGAGGTGCAGTAGGCTGTACCATCTAGGTTTGTGTAAGTACACTCTGTGATGTTCTTACAACGATGAAATCACCTATCGATGTACATCTCAGGATGTATCCCCGGCGTTAAGCGACGCTTGGCAGTAGTGGTAGGAGTGTATGTCCAAATGCCTCATTTTTCTCTTAATGGTCAGTTCATTCATTTTTCCATTCCTTTAATCAACATTCATCGAATTGGTACTTTAAACAGAGCACTTGCAAGATTCTGGGTGTATATAATATATATATACATCTATATAAATAAGCAAACAACTGAAAGGCTAGTAGCAGATCCTATATAGCTGTAAATGGCGTATGTGAAAAGAAAGCTGACATAAAGGGAGCTCAGAGAAAGAAGTGAGAGGCAGAGGTGTCTGGGTAACTCGGGAGATGATGGTTTTTAACAAAAACACAGGTCAGAAGCTGGAAAACATTTGAAGGAGAAGAGATTCAGAGTTTAGCTTTGTCATATAGGAAGGATTTTCAGACAGACGTAGAAAGCATTAAGGTCAATGCAGGACTAAAGTTCAGAAGAAGATTGGGGTTAGGGTAAACACCTCTGTCAACCCCCCCCACTCCCTCTCCCCAATCTTTTATGTCCTTGTGCAATTTTCTAAGAAAAAATTACGTGGAACTGTAGTGTCAAAGAATATATGATTAAATTTTATTTATTAATTATTAAATAAATCATACGCACATAAATGTATTTTAGCATATAAATGTAGTTTAAATAATAATAGAACAAAAGCCCATGTACCTACTTCTTAGCTTATGAAATAGAAAATTGTCAGTCATTTTAGGCCCTTGAGGGCCCCTGCCTGATGGCCGATCCCCACCTTTCCCTGGGTCACCATTAGCCTACAATTTTGCTTGTCATTTCTTGGCTTTTCCTTATAGTTGGGTCATGTATCCCTAAACAAAATACTTATATTTGCATATTTTCAGCTTTTTGTGCATGGGATCATATTGTACGTGTAATTTTGACTTTTTTAACTCCAAATCATATTCCTGAGATTCATCCATGTTGATTTTAGTAGCTGTGGTTCATTGAATTTTTTTTCCTGCTAAAGTGTAGCATATTCCACTGTGTAAACCACAGTTTATCCATTGAGGGTCACTTGAGTTGCTTCACTTTTATGCTGTTATACATGTTACTGCTATAATCTTATTATATGTGACTACTGGTGCACGTGTGCTGGAGTTCATGTAGAGAATATAGCTAGGGATTTACTAGATAATGCTATTTTACTCTCCAAAGTGCTTGTGCTAATTTACATTTCTAACAGCAGTGTGTGAGAACACTTATTGCTCCACACACAGAATCGACAAATTGAAAAAACTTTTGCCAACTTGGTGTGAATGAAATATTACCTCCTTTTCCTTGCCATCTGAATGTCCGCGATAGCTAGAGAAATCAGGCATCTTTTCATATTTGTAATGGCCATTGGATTTCCTCTTCTGTGAAGTTCTGGCTCAAGTCTTTTGCCCATTTTTAGCAAGGTCATCTTTTATATATACATTTGTAGTTTATATTTTTCATTTTGTTTTAAGAAACCTTTCTGTATGCTGAAGTCCTATAGATATCCTCAAATTGTCTTCTAAAGGTTTTCCTTTTATATTTAGGGCCATAATCCAATCAAAATTGAAGTAAGAATTTAATTTCTGTGCTTTATGAAAAACCAGATGTCCCAGACATTTTTTGAAGAAATGAGCTCTCTTTTGCTCATTGTTCGAGTGTTACCTCTTAATATATCAGGTTATAGTAAATTTATGGGTGTGATTTTGAGCTCTGTTCCATTTCATCGATCTCTGTTTCCTCATGTCAGTACCACACTGGCTTAATTAAAATAGTTTATTATAACTCAGTTATCTGTCTATTAGGGCAAGTCCCTATACCTTGTTTATGTTCTTTAGAATTTCTTGTTTGCCCTTTGACCATCTTAATAAAGTTTAGGGTCAGCTTGTCAGTTTCCACCAGAAAACAATGAAGAGCTATTAGCTTTCGATTCAAATTTTATTTTATATATCAATTTTGGAAATTTTTCTATTTGTAAACAGGTTTCTCTCTCCATTTGTTTAGATTTTTAAATTTCCTTCAGTATGTTTTATAATTTTCTCCATAAAGACCATGCATGTCTTCTGTTAGATTAATTCCTAGGCATCTTAGTTTTGTTGCTGTTAAATGTTGTCTGTGTTTTCCATTTGTTGCTCATATATAGAAATGAAGTTACCTTTTATACATTGACCTTATATCCAGCAATGTTGCCAAGGTCTCCCATTAATGCTAGTAATTTTTAGATTTCTTTGGAGTTTTTTCTGTGGGCAGGCGTATCTGTGAATAATGGCAATTTCTTCATTTTAAATTTCTGTACTCTGAATTTCTTTTTCCTTTTGCGCTGAGATCTCCAGTATAGTCTGAATGGAAGTAGTGATAGTGGCATTCGTGTCCACTTCTGGTCTCAGTGAAAGTGCTTTAATATTTTGTTGTTAATAATTCTGATAATTAAAGGTTTTTGATAGATACCCTTTCATGACTGTTTGCTAGAGTTTTGATCGTAGCAAGCTTTTGAGTTTTAACAAATGGTTGTCTGTATCTGTAGATGATTAAATGGTTTTTAGTTTTTCATTTGTTAATGTGATTTACATATTAGGTTTTTAATGTTGAACCAACCTTGTATTCCTGAGAAAACCCATCTATATATCTTTTTCTTTTCTTTTTTTTAAAGATTTTACTTTTCCTTTTTCTCCCAAAGCCCCCTGGTACATAGTTGTGTATTTTTTTTTTAGTTGTGGGTCCTTCTAGTTGTGGGATGCCGCCTCAGCATGGCTTGATGAGCAGGGCCATGTCCGTGCCCAAGATTCGAACCGGCGAAATCCTGGGCTGCCAAAGCAGAGCACATGAACTTAACCACGTGGCCATGCCGCCGGCCCCCTATATCTTTTCCATTCATAACTGGCTGCCATTTGTAATATTTTTAAGTTTTTTGCATCTGTGTTTATCAGTGAGGTTAGCCTTCAGGTTTTCCTTCATGTACTTATCTTGTCAGATCTTGGAATCACGGTTGTCCTAGCTTTGTAAAATCTGTTGGTAAATATTCTTCTTTTTCTTCCTTAGAAGAATTTGTGTAAAGTGAAAATTATTTGTCTTTTGAATATTTGGTAGAACTGTGTTCATCTTGGCCTAGGATTTTTCTTGTGAAAAGAATTTAAACTAATAATTCAATTTCTGTTGTTAGAAGATTGTATGTTTTCTATTTCTCTGTAGTCATTGAGTTATGGTATTTTTTCTAAAAAATTATACTTCTCATATAAGTTTTCAAATTTACAAGGTAAAGTTGTCCATTGTTTTCTCTTATCTAAAGTTGCTAGTATACGTAATTATGACCTCTTTTTCCTTCCAAAAAGGGAGAAACAGATCTTTCCAGGGGTTTAGCAATTTTTAGTTGTTTTCAGACATTTTTCACTTCACTGATCCTCTCTGTCTTTTTAAAAAATTTCATGTATTTCTCCTCTTTATTATTTCGTTCCTCTTACATTTATGTATGCTATTCTCTCTTTTTAACTTTTAAAATTAGATAATTCATTGTTTTTGAGGCTTTCTCTTTTCTATTATAAGCATTTAAGACTGTATTAGGAGTATATTCTGCATGTTTTGATATGTAGTATTTTTCTTATCATGTATATCTAAGCATTTTCTACTTTCTATTCATTTCTTCGTGACCTATGAATTATTTGGAAGTTTTAAGTTCCAAATTTAAGTTTTTTGTTTCGTTTAACTACATTGTGGTTAGAGGATGTTGTCTGTTTAATACATATTCTTTGACATTCTTTGAAACTTGTTTTCTGTCTTAGGGGTTAATTTTGGTGAATATGCTGTGTGTACTGGAAAATAACATCTGTTTTCTGGTTGTGGAGTTCAGCATTTGATATATGTTCATTGGACTAACTTCATTAATTTTAATGGTCAAATCTTTTGTGTCTCTATTGATTTTTTAAAAAATCTCTTTGAGTCAATTACAGGGAGACGTTAAAAACTTCTTCCCTAATGGTGAATACATACATGTTTTTGTAATTCTGACCACTGGTTCTTTATATTCTGACAGTGTTTTATTAGGTCATATATTTTTGGAATTGTTTTGTCTTTCTGGTGAATTCTTCCATATATTGTTATTATCCTCTTTAAACCTAGTGGTGATTCTTCCCTTAACTATTTTGCTTAGTGTTAATATAGCTATATTAGCCTTTTTTGGTTAATATTTATTTGGTATAGTTTTTTCCACCCCTTCACTCTCTTGCTTTTTATGTCTCTTGTAAACAGTATATAACTAAACATTTTTTAGTCCAGTCTGATAATCTATATCTTTTAACTAAATGATGGTAGTCAGTTACTTCTTTTTGGTATTACTA